AGAAACACTTTCTTGAGAAAACACATCTCTTCATCGATCGTATCCGTAGAACCGATTCTAGCAGTTCTATTGAAAAGGCAAAATACCAAGTTTCGTTTCCTCTGGATTGGAAAGAAAATAAGAAAGTCCATGTATTGTCCTTTCCATGTGGTTTTCCGCTAGATGGACTTTTGAATGGAACCAACTGCCGGCTGCGTAGAAGCACGTCTAGGAAGGCCAGTGTGTCATCCTTCTCATGCTCGATCGTAAATTTGATCTTTGCATGTGCATTCTTGGCATGTGAGTGTAAATGAATATATTGTTGTTGTGGAAGTGCTCAAAAATGTTAAATCAAAGAAACTTATATTTGCTTCAATGAACTAAATTGAATCAAATCCATCAACTACTGTTACTCGGGCTACTGATGCCAACTGAGGGAAATGCAACCTTATATTGGCGTACTTTAACGAAAAAATGGAAATTCGGGTTACTGAAAATGTAAAAGTGGGCTTTTCTTAGCTTCTCCATTATTTACACGTCCAGGTCTGCAAAACGTACTTTTATGCACAGAAAGCTGCATATTTTGGTAACCTGCTTCGATGTACATTTCCACCGAATTTTTGAGTAACATTAAAGACAACTAACAATGCCCGTGATTGAATTACGGCTATTAATGACTAACATGAGGAAAGGACCAAACTATACCCACGTCGAATGCGGAAACTGCTAATTTTGGTAGGTGTATGATTTGCGTAATAATTGTATCCTAGACGTACTGCATCTCATGTGCTGCTGTTTATGATGATTATGAAGCTGAAAGTGAAGTCAGGGTGCAGGAGTTATAAAGACGCGTACTCAAGCTTGCTTATTTTAGCGAACGCTAGAGTACACGAAGAACGTCTTGGAAGCCGTTAGGCACTTTCTAACACCACTCGGAGTTGATACTGCACATCGTTCAGAAACAGTTATCAGACGCCAAGTAATGAGGTCGAGAGACCCCCCTGCCATGATAGAAAACGTCAACTCTGGTGCAGTTGAAGACAAAGCAACTACGTCAGTGAAACTGGGAGACTACTCCGCTCGCGGATGGCTGAACATACGCCAGCGTCGAGTAGGACGGACGCTTATTATCAAGTCGTGGCTCATGTGACTCAGGTGGAAGTTTTCCCAAAGGCTGACAACGGTGTGAGCCATGAACTGCTTGAGCCTTCGTTCTCTGGTCCGCAGTCGATTCATAAGCGCATGGTCTCTCAGCTGTGCCGAGGCTTTATCTAGACGAAGTAATTCGTCACGCGGGGGGGACAC